TTATTCCATTCCACAAATGACTAGCTCACCTCCTCCCATACCTAGGTTATGTCCTTTGCAAAGTACTCCTAGCACTCACTAAAGTTCCATTTGATGCTATTGGTATACTTGTGATGCTACACAGCATGCTAGATTGCAGTCACACACATAAAGTCATTTCTCCGCATCTCTAAGGATATTTAAAGACGCACCTAAAAGCAATCCATGAACTTTGATTAAAGCCCAGCTTAAAAGAAAAAAAGTTATAAAAAACATTTGGTAGCACTGCAGGTAACCTCATATGTTTCTTCCTGGAAAGAACTAAGGCTAGAGCTTGGTTGTCCTCTTCCATCAACCATAAATACCCATAACCCAGAAAAATAAAGACAAAGTAGTCATTTTCCATGTTGTTTATTCATAGTCAGTTACCAAGAGCTACATAAGGGGATTAAACAAATTAACAGGAGCATTTGGGAAGCCAGAGGACCATGGGATAGAGGATGAGACTTTGACAGCAATTTTACAAAGTGTTAAATGAAAGGTTTACAAACATTCTTTTTCTTAAAACAATAGTATCCTCTGAGGGTAACAGGAGATAGAAATCATGATGAATAAAATAAATGAACCACTTCTGATTGTTGCATTCCACAAAAACAAAGTCTGCAATGGTGTTCTGCATTTCAGACTGTTATGATTTTCAGATATGAAATATAGATTTCCAACATAGACTAACAGTAACAGATTAACACAATGCAGAAGAAAATAAAGAACATGAAAACAGCTTGTCATCTGCTAGCAAAAATAGATGTTAATATCAAAACTAAAGACATTCAAATAAATTATGCCAAAATACTGTAGTTATTATTCCTAAGATAATATTGCTCCTACTCATAACTGAAAGGTTGGAGGAAATTCTACAATAGCTAGAAGCCATAATATGCAATACATGTAGTAGACCTACCCCAGCACAACAGCCAAATAGACACTTAATTGTTTTTCTTTTAGGCTTGACATCTTTAGTTGTAGAACAAGACTACTCATCAAAACTCTGGATAATACAAACAGAAGACAATGCCCAAAGCCCAAGAATTTAACTTACTAGAAATAATTAAAAGTAGGACATGAGAAAAGCAGCAGTCTGAATGAAGTAAACATTTTTTTAAAAATTCAGTTTGCACATTTTTCTCTCTTAGAGAGTCCTCCAGGTAATAATTAAAGGTGTGTAGGTGTGGGGGTGCTGGGACATTGTGCGCACTTGGCAGATAACTGTGTTGTTGACCTAAAGCAAGCTCCATCTGTTTAGTTAGTGTCAGAACCTGCCTCACTGCCAGGAGGTGAACTGCAGGTAGAAGTTGCACTGAGACTCTTACTGTTATCTGTGACTCAGGGAAACACCTACCCTAGGGCGTCTTTGGGCCTGGGAGCAAGCCCATCTTCTATGAAGACGTGAGACATTCATTTCTGTAATTCAGGGTAGTCAACAAAGAATATTCAGCATGCACTAGGGATGCCTGTACAAGGCTTCATTTCCAAGAATATGTGATTTATTGTAATTTTGGGATGGAATAATTAGGATTAAAATAGAGGTTAAAACATAGGTCTACAATGATGTGTTGACTGGCATTATTTAATGGAGAGACTCAAAGTCCAGAAAATTAAATTCAACCTCAATTCTTCCCAAACAATATCAAGTTTCTGGTTTTTTTATCTTAAAAATATAACAGTTCTACACATACATATTTGGTGGAAAGGAACTGTTAAGAGAAAGAAAATGCCATTTCGTCCTCTGGGTAGTTTTCAGATTCAAATAACATGACACATTAGAGAAGCCCTTTGTAAAGGTGCCGATACTGGCCACTGGTTTCAAAATTTGCATATAGTTTTGTACCTAATTTTACTTATTTCCACCCTGAATTCAAGTAAGAGTACTACAGAATTGACATTTGGCCCAGTTATACTTGTGATTCCAAAAGAAATCATAAAATTAATAGTAATAACAGTATTAGGACAATTAAAGAATTTCTAAGCAGTACATAATAAAACTCCCCTGACTCAGCTGTATATTTTATTTTTGCTGTCTTTTTCTTTTTGAGTCACATTCTGGAGCAGGGCTATTTAACAGCCAATGTCACTAAATTTCTACACTTATTCTTTTTTTTTCAGAACCAGTGATTGAACTCAGCCCCTTGCACTTGCCAGGCAAGCACTTATTCTACTAAGCCATCTCCCTAACTCCTCTACATTTATTCTCACATTGTGAAAACTAGATATGCTTTTCACCCTAAGTACCCTTACATTTACAGTATGCTTTCTCATGTCTGCAAGCCGAATTTGGATAAATGTTGAAAAGAAAAGAACAGGGGCTGGGGCGATGGCTCAGTGGAATAAGCACTTTGCTGGCAAGTGCAAGGGCCTGAGTTCAATCCCCGGTTCCGCCAAAAAAAAAAAGAAAAAAGAAAAGAAAAGAACAAAGATTTGGATTGTATTATTTAACTGCTTAGAAATGGAAATGCTACTCACATGGTGTTCATTTTGACATCTCCATAAAGTGGAAATCATGAATCCTATATTGAACGAGTTCTTTTAAAATGCCAGTCACTTGTAGTCTCTAGAAGGCGAGTGACCCACTTTAAATAACTTTTCATTTTAAACATGCATTATTGTCTGACTGCTTATTTAGTGTGACACTGAAAAATCATGCATCCTTTTTCCATTATTTATTTTACATTTCATTCATAGCATCCTATGTCTGTGACATTGTTTTTCTTTTTAAAAAAATATTTATTTATTTGGTTCTCACTACACAGCTTGGACTCACAGTGATCCTCCTATGCCTCCCCAGTGCTGGGATTACAGGCATGCGCCACCACTCCTGATGTCAGTGGCTGGCTTGGTATAGACTGGCGCAGCATGCAGTACCAGGGATCAAACCCCAGTCCTTGTGCTTGCCAGGCAGGTGCTAAGACCACCAAACTATCTCCCCAGCCTTGTGACATTCTTTAACTATCTAAAAATGTTTTCTGGAGAAATTTTTTCACATCATAACTCAATATTTTCTTGGGCTTTTGAGGAGAAGTCTTCACAATTAGGCTTTGGCTTTAATGTAATCGGGGAAGAAGCTAGAATTGCTTTGAAAATGCAATTCAACTACTGCTCAAATTGTGTTATTGTAATTTGAATAACACATTTAAAAAAGTTTCCCCTTTCAGTAGTATAATCTATTGAGACTGCTACAGAATTCACAGTGATATAAATAAGAAGAGAGTGTAGAAAGGGTAAGACACAGGACAACACAGAAGCATATCAACTCTATGTTTATCTATAAGGCAGATGGTCAAACTTTTTATACAAGATCTAAAATATGGTGTTTAATAAGAGGTAGAAAATACCAGAACAGTATTTAAGAGAAACATGTTCAGTTATTTAAAACAATCAGTTACTTTGCTAAACTTTTAGAAAGTCCAGCTGTTGTGTGGAATGCATTGTATGTTTTATAGTAACCCAGGACATACCATATTCCACAGGGATAGGGCCAAGCTGGATGGGTCACAAAGCCAGCGATGGGGGAGGTGGAAGAAGGAAATAATATCTTCATTTGTCGAGGGCCTAGCTCTTCCTAAAGAAGAATTTCCTACCATCTCCCTGGGATGCCATTAGGACTGGAAATTAATGGGCATTTCTCTGGTGAGGACAATCAGAGGGTATAATTTTGCACGTAAGGCAACAGAACTACAGGGAGGGACCCATGCAAGTGCTTCTCCCTCCACAGCGTTCCGCGTCCATCTTATACAGAAACATCCATTCCACTTCCTTCTGCCATCCCCTTCATCACTAAAATGCAAATCTTCTTCAGACTCCAGCACCAGCAGAATTGTTCTGTATGAGCAGTTCGAGAACTGTCTGAGGCAAAAAGATATTTCAGCCACCAAATTAAACTTGGCAGCTTATAAGTGGGTAAGTAACTCTGGGTGCTCTTACTTCTTAATGCACCTGGGAAAAGTTGATTTTTTTTTCCTCCAACATAATTTTATAAGGCATAAATTTAACTTGAATTTTCCCTAACCTTTGGGAAATTAGTGTTAAAGCTTCTTTTTTAATCCACACATTAACATTCAATCTTTCATTTTTATTAAACAGTTTATATAAAAAAGAAATATCAAGGTGTTCCACATTCATATAAACAATCATGATAACACTTGAAATTGCAAAGACACCTACTGAAGAAAATATAGACTTCAATACTTACAATGTTAGGCTAAGCGCAAGTGATTATTCTGGATAGTACCTTTTACACATATAGACAAGGGTGCGCTGCTTCCAGAAGCAAACACGGGGTACATTAATGTTCTTTTTTTCTTCTTTGCTTTTCACCACAAGACAGGATGTTCCAATTTGGAAAAACCAAAATCTTTTCTAAGTTCCAAGTAGGTGCCATTGCTCACCCAAGAATCATCGCTGGATTTCCTGTGAAAGGCGAAACAGTTGCTTGCATGCTCTTTAAAATACAGCCAAATCCTCTCTCTCCTTTCTTCTCACTCCTCAACCCCTCTATCCCACACCACCCCTATCCCCAGCCCATGGTCTGCCTTGATGGAGACTGGGACCCTGGAGCCATTTTGTTATCTCTGGCATTAATTTCTCAAACTTCGAGGCTGTGAAAAGTGGCGCTTCTGAGAGGACAAATGGAGGAATATTCTGTTGCATAGATATTACAGCTGGATGACAGTCACCCTCTGTGGCGTAACTATGTAAAATTTACACTTCAACTAGGTTGTTCATGGAAGGGCAAACTTACATTTAAAAAAGTATTGGAAGGAATGAAGAGTACAGTCCTAGTTTACTATTTTTTTTTAATAGATAGTATACTATATAGATGAAATTTACAAAGGAATAAAAAGGGATAAAAGCTAAAGATTTTCTTCCTGGCCCTTCCTCCCAGCCTCTGGGTTCTTCTCCTACAGGCAGTGATGCTATTGTCTACACTTTTTTCCAGAAAAAAAATCCACAAATGTGTGCCCATGCATGCGTACCCAGATACACCACACCCCTCTTGTTTTTACGCAGTGGTAGTCCTGGACAGTGGTCCACCCGTGAATATCTGATGTAACAATATGTACTGGTGATATTTTCCCATCAGCACAGTCAGCGGGGGACAGGAAACTACAGCCCAGAGGTCAAACTCATCATTCTTTGTATCTCTGACATATTGTTTATTGGAACTCAGCCCTGCCCATTTATTTAAACACCCTCTGTTTTTGCTTTTTTTGTTTTGTTTTGTTTTTGCCAAACAGTAGAATTAATTGCTTCTGAGACCTATGGCTGCAAAATCAACAAGATTTATCATCCACTTTCATAGGAAAATTCTGATGACTCCAGAGATAGGAGACTCCTCGTTTCATTTTTAAATAGCTGCATCATATTCTACACATTGTCATAACTTAAGATTTTGTTTTGTTTTGTGTTTTTTGAGGCACGGTCTTACTATGTAATTCAGGCTGCCCGGGCTGGCCTCAAACTCCCACTGATCCTCCTTCCTTGGCGTCCCATTACAGGTGTGCACCACCATGCCCAGCTCTTATGATTTTGTTTCAAAGAAAAAATAATCTAAAACCATCTGGAGCCCTAATCTTCTACTCAGGAGCGTACAGGTCTCATCTGAAACATTCTATAGGGCCAGTAATCAAATCACGTCCATTCCCCAAACAGTATGAGTTTTTTTCAGCTAAATTTATTTTTTAAAAATTTAAGTCTATTTTAAGATCCTCTTGGTGGATTTGATTTGTTTGGTTGAGACAAGGTCTTGCTATGAAGTTCTGGCTGGCCTCAAATTCATGGAGATGCTCCTGCCTCAGCCTCCCAAGTACAGGTGTGTGCAGCCATACCCAGCTAGCAGGTCATTTATAAAGTAGCAGCAAATGTTCCAAATCCAAGCCCATGGGTATTGGAGCTGCTATCCAAGAGTTAGACCACTTGGAATTCCATTTTGGTAACTAGTAGGATGACGGCTAATTATCTCCGTGACTGCACAAAATACAAGCAATCTAAAATAAGCAATATGGCATCCATGTGGGTGGCCAAGCTCAGGCACATATGTGATCAGCTGGCCTGATGTGGGGGCTGCAGTCTGCACTGAGAACTCCCCTTCCCCTGAAAAGCACTGCAGGGCCTCAGACAGACAGCGAGAGGTGGGCAAGGAGGACAGGAGAGCCACTGAGCAGGGACCCCAGAGGAGCTGGCCTGGCGGGTGGGGTGGGCTGTTCTCTTTCTCCAAACCAGCACCACGAAACACTAGCCCCTCTTGGCCCAGGACGCCTCGCCGGTCTAGCCGTGCACCTGAAAAACCGCGGCTGATGCTCCATGTTATGTTCTTCGAGGACCCGCCGCCTCTCTCTCTGCTGCTGCTCGATCCTCTGCTTTTGCACTTCAGCTTCTTCTACGTTCCCTTCTTCTAGAAACCTGCGTCATTGATGAAAAACATGAAGAATATTATTTCCAAGGAAACAAAACAATTGTTAGTACTAAACTTTCATGTGTCCAAGACTGGATATTCAAAATGTTCTTCTACAACTACAAACCCTCCCCTAACCCTGAAACAGTGTTTTGAGATAAAGAGGAACGATATTATTTTATGAATTGGTGATATTTACACAGTTCAAAAAATTTATCCATGGAAGCAATTTGGGACACTCTTTTTTGTTTTAGTATTTTAGGACACTGTTGACAGGGTCTCACTACAAAGATTGGCCTCACAGTGATTCTCCTGTGTTCAGCCTCCCAAGTGCTGGGATTACAGGTGTGCGCCACCACGCCCAGGCTCAATCGCTGTCTCAGCGTCCCCCAGGAACGAGGCCAGATCAGCACGCTGGGGATCAAACCCCGGCTGCTGCGCTCTGCCTAAGCAGGCGCTTTAGTCCACTGAGCTATCTGGCAGCCCTGGGACAGTCTTCCTCTCTTTCCTGTCTCCAATTCTACCTGTTAAGATCTCATTCTACCCCTTTCAACCATTTAAAAACATAAATGGTAGCATTCTGTATATACTATTGATTTACTTTGATTTTTTGCTTTGCTTTACTTTTTACTTAAACATGAATCTTGAAAATGTTCTTTTATGTCTTTTTTGTTTTTCTTTTTGAGATGGGGTCTTGCTATATATATAGCCCAGCCTGTCCTCACACTTATAGTGACACTATTGCCTCAGCCTCCTGAGATCTGGGATTACAGGCATGTGCCACCATGCCCAGTTTCAGTATCTTTCCATAGTAAGGGCCAGCGAGATAGCTTAGCAGACTAAGTGCCTGTTTAGGTAAGCACAGGGACTGGGGTTCCATTCCTGGCACCAATGCCACACTGGCCCTGTCGCTAGGCATGCTGAGCCAGCCACAAGACCGGGCATGGGGGCGCAATCCCAGTGCTGGGGAGGCTGAAAACAGGAGGATCACTACAAGTGCAAGCTGCATAGTGAGACCCTGTACCAAATGCACAAAATTTAAAAAAAAAAATCTTTCCATTGTAGTACATGATGCTGTTACTTTTAATATCTGTAAATTATTCAGTTAGAGGATTATAGTTTAATTTAAATAACTCCCTAAAAAAAAACCAAAACCAACTCCCTATTGATAACTACTTGGGTTGCTCCTAGTACTTAATGTAACAACACTGCAGCTACAGGCTTTGCATATATATTACATCTGGAAAAGAATACTGTAGGAGAAATTCCTAGAAGTGAGTTTGTGGGGCTAAAGGATGAATCTGCAGTTTTTATCATAAACTACCCTTTATCTGGGTTATAGCAAGTTATGTCCCTACCAGCATGAACACCTTCCCCCCTTGCCTCAATGTATAACAGAAATGTATTTTCATTTGGTTTTTAAGGCTACAGGGTGCTCAGGGTCTCACTACTAGATAGGACTTGTGGTGATTCTCCTGCTTACAGCCTCCAAAAGCTGGGATTATAGGCGTGTGCCACCACGCCCAGTCTCAGTTGCTGTCTCAGGGAGCCTTGTAGGCAGGGCCGGGACAGCACTCTGGGGATCGAACTCCCTGCCCCTGCACTTGCTTGTAGGTGCTTTAATCCACTGAGCTATTTGGCTGGTCTTTCATTTTCTTTTTAAATAAAGCCAAATGTAGACATCTTTTTCATTTGGCTTCTGGATTTTGAGTCTTAATTAGGCCTAAGAGAGAGTGTTCTCTCCATTTTACAGAGTAGGAAACTTGGATTAAAAATTATCATACATCGGGGTGGGGAGATGGCTCAGTGGAACAAGCGCTTCCCTAGCAAGCGCAAGAGCCTAAGTTCAATCCCTGGTTCCGCAAAATAAATAAATAAATAAATAAATAAATAAATAAATAAATAAATAAAATTATCATACATCACCCAGCTTATTAGCAGTAAAGTCAGTGTAAGTAGTTAGATTTATTTAATTGATTTATTTACTTTTTGTACAGGGTCTCATTACGTATATCGGACTTGTAGTGATCCTCCTATTTCAGCCTCCACAGAGCTGGGATTCCAGGTGTACGCCACCACACCCAGGCGTGGTCACCAGCTCAGTGTGCCCAGGGGCGGGGCCAGTGAGGCATGTGGGACCGGGGATCAAACCCCAGTCCCTATGCTTGCCTAAGCAGGCGCTTAGTCGGGTGAGCTATCTTGCCAGCCCTAGAAGTTAGATTTTAATACACCAAAATAATTTAAATTTGAGGGGTCATGGGAGCTGGATGCTTTGTATTTTTACAAATACACAGTAAGGTTTTGATTATTGTGCATGGTTTAACTCTTTAAAATAAAGACACTTTATTAGAAATGGGGCATCACTCATCAAGGCCAGCCAGCATGAGCATGGGAGCTGGCCTCTCTTTCCTCTGAGACATGATTATTTACAGCCCCCTGCAGCTCTACTTTCCTGGTGACATCGCTCGCCTCTCTCAGGCTCCTCTGCTGGCCTGGGCACTGTTTAATAAGGCCTTTTGTAAAGATTTTTTTATGTCTCTGGAAAAAAGATCTTTTAAAAACTCTTACCTTTGGTCTGGTCTAAATCGAGTGTCAGTAGGTGGCAATAAAGACTTTGACAAAGCATCCATTTCATTTAACTCTAATGCAAACTGTGTGAAGCCATAATATTGCTCGTAGCCTTTTGGCATGGGATCTGGAAGAAAAATAAAGCATTCATCCCTCATTTGCCTTTCATTGAGGTTACATTTTAATTCCATCATCTTCTGCGTCTCAGAATGGCTAGTTTTCTTCTCTCAGCTCTAAAGTGTTCCATTTTTATTAAAATATTCTAACAAATACGTGTTGAATATTTCTTTAAAAATTTTCTCCTAAAGAGATACAACCTCCTTTGCTAGGTTCGATAGCAAATTTGTACAATTTACACAGTGTTGTGAAGTTTCTGTACAGCTTGAGCTATAAAATAATTTACTATTAAAATAACTATGCCAAAAGAACACTGGGTCTATTTTTTCTGACCAAGACTCTCACTCTAGAGAATCTATTTTTTATTTGAGTGATGTCACACTCTCCTGAAAGTACATAGTGCTGTAAATAATAAATGGTCAATAAATGCTATTAGGTTTTTTTATTTGTTTTGTACTCATTATTAACTTTATTGAAAATCAATAATTATATAGCAAATTAAAAATTGTAGACAAATATTGAAATTTGAAAGATATAAGATGTAGACAGAGTGAATTTTAGAAAAATATTTCTGAAATGAATACATGAGATTAATAATAGATTGCACATTATAAAAATTATTTACAAATTTAAATGAATACTATTCTTTTTCTGCATCCCTGCATTTCTTCTCACCAGTCTTGTTCCCTATAGTCTTTCATCTTTAACTTTAAAACCCTGATGTGTATTGCCCTAAGTTAAATTCCACTAAAACTCAGGCTATAAACATATGAGTCTACATATCAGGTTAAGAATAAGTGCTTTCTTGGCAAGCACAGGGCCTGAGTTCAATTTTCAGTTCCGCAAAAAAAAAAAAAAAAGCAAATGTAAACTAGTAAGACCAACTCACAGCCTCAGCTCTGATTCTTCACATGCAAATGCTTTCCCCAGACTTTCCTGCAGATCTACTTTCTAAAGATTTAGCTGTCTTCCCCAGCATTAGTCTGACATTCCTCATAGTTCAAACACAAGAGTAATAATGAAGCTTCCCGCTAGGTCTCCCACCAGTGCCCCAACTTCCAGAGTGAAAAGAGCGGTTCTTCTTAGAGATGGGGAATCTTCAAGGGATGCTCACAGGAAATGCCGAAATGTGAAGTCAAGGAATAGCAATGCCAACGATTTCCACAGGGTTCCTCTGTCAAGGTCTATAATGCCTGGAGAGCTTGGTGCTGTCCATCGGTAAAACATACTTTGAACAAAGGAGAGACCATCCCAATTGCAAAATGTCATGCATGCCTCTGAAGGAGGAAGGCAATCACAGACAATTTACTACAGCTTCCTGGAGACCTTGGTGATGGTGGGAGATGTGGCTGCCATCCACTTTAGGAGACCCGTGCAGCTGCCTGCTCTTCTTTTCTGTCTCGTCCCTGCTAAGGAAATACTGATTCTGCTCAGGGAGCATGCATCTCTCCCAGGGGATGAAGCTATGTCCATCAGAGCATCCCTCCCGCCCACTCTGCTGCTCATGATTGGTTCAAGAAACAGGTTTGGATCCACTTCAGTCTGATGTGATGTAAAGACGTATTTGCTTGGGGATCCTGAGAAACGCTGCATCTCTGAGAAACAGGAGGCATGTGAAGAACATGCTCTTTCGTCCTCTCTCCCTCCTTGCTTGGGATGCAGCAGAGTGGGGACAGGATACTGAGCATGGTAACCACTTTATGCCCACAGTGGAAGCAGGCACAGTAGGAGTGGCAGAATATTCCCTCAGTGCTCTGTGTCTTGACATGGGCAAGGTGAGTACCCAGCTGAGGCCACCAGCTCTTACTGACAGTCAAGCAGAGGCAGGCATCCTCATGGTTTATGACACTAATAGAGTAGCTTTGCTTTATTTGGTTTCTGTCAGTCCAAAGAATTCTATGATCCTGAGGTGGACACAGCTATGGTGATAATATGTGTGGGGATATACCACAAAACATGGGCTGGCCCAGCCTGTCCCCCCCTCAGCTGCTTGAAGGACTCAGTGTCCTGGCATCATGGAGGGGAACAGGATGGTCTCTGGTGCTGGGTCAACCCAGGGACTCCTCACTCTTGGGAAACCCTCAAGTCACTACTTTTTTTTTTTTAATCAACACTTTTTTCTTTGTTCTCACTCTGTAATGGCTTCTTGCACTCCAATGACTTTTCTTTAGAGAGCCCCAGACAGTCCTGGGTGTGGGCTCAAGACCTACACTGCCCATCATTTTGCATTCCAGGGTTAAGAACCCAGGACCTCGCAGCCCACAACTAGGGCTGTTGAGACAGCTGAATGAATGAGAGAGGGGCTGATCCTTCCAACCTTGTTCAAAGCAGGAAGAGGCTGAGACTTTGAGCAGAATGGATTCCCCCTGCACCAGCCTCCGCTCCAGCCGCCCTCACCCGCCTGAGGCCCCTGGGGCTGGAGACTCACTTGCTCTCCACACGCACGTGGACGAGGAGGCTCCGCCACTGCAGTAGATGCTCTCATGCCACTTTCCAAATAGACGGAACACAGCTTGCCCACTCCGGTCGAATACTGTGCCTTCGATCTCGTGGGCGTTAGTGCTCCAGTATTTTGCCTAGGATGCAAAGGGAGTTAGGCAGTACTTTGGTTCCTGCTTCTTAGAGATGAAGTAAGCAAAAAGTAAAGCAAGAGAGTAAGAGTCACTGCGTGCCTTATATCACTTGCCAGTACTGGACTCTACGCTTTTCAGTTGACCAGAAAACAGCCTTTCCAGAAAGAATGGCTATCATAAAGAAATCACCCAACAACAAATGTTGGAGAGGCTGTGGGGAAAAGGGAACCCTTCTCCACTATTGGTGGGAGTGTAGACTGGTACAACCATTATGGAAATCAGTGTGGAGACTCCTTAAAAAAACTAGGACTGGAAATCCCATTCAAACCAGCTATCCCCCTACTGGGAATTTTCCCAGAGGAACTGAAAGCGTCATATCATAGTGACATATGCGTACTTATGTTTATAGCAGCACAGTTTGTGATAGCCAGATCTTAGAAACAACCAAGATGCCTGTCACATGTGGAATGGTTGAAAAAGATGTGGTATTTTTATACAATGGAGTATTACTCAGCTATAAAGAATGATAAACTCAAAAATTTCATATTTAAGTGGATGCCACTTGAAGATATAAGTAAAATAAACCAGACCCACATGTGTAAATATCGTATCGTCTCCCTAGTTTAAGAACTCAAAAGAGGAATTACATATAGAAAGGTACAACACAATGCACTGTGTTAATTATTGAAACTGTCCTACCAATTTGATTTGAAACTGTCTCATTGCTATTTGATTCTCAATAAAATTATGGGGGGAAAAAGGTACAACACAAATAAAAGGAATGCAAGAACTTGAGGATTTGACAATGAGTGGGCAAGGAGAAAAGCTGGGAAACATGACAGGGGCAAAGCCATGCATTTGTGCACACAAGATGGGTGGGTCAGTGGTCCTGGGGGACATCAGCACATTTTTAAGACTAGCGGTTGGCTGGGGAGATTCTCACCCTGACTAACTGTCTATGCTGGTGCCTGTGAGCCAGGCGACTGCACTGAGGATGGCAATGTGTAATAGAGGGGGTCATGCTTGGAGTGCCTGCCATCCTGGTCTTCTAAATATGTACTTCTTGTCATGACATA